CTCTGTCTGTCCGCACTAAAGACCGTGATCAATCCTAAGTCGACAACGATATTAGGATGGATATGGAATTCAGGTACACTAAGTGCAAGTCCACATCGCATTGCGACCCTTGCTTCGTGCCAAAAGCCAGAGACTGTGTATCGACTAAGATCATTTATAGGAGCTTTTAAAGTGCTATCTCGCGTCATTCCAGGGTGTTCATCGTTGCTCTCTAAACTTGACGACGCCGTAGCCGGTCGCCAGTCCAAAGAACAAATTCAGTGGACTGACGAGCTCCATGCAGTATTCTGCAGGGCACAGGCTGCTTTGTCTGCAGCTCGCACTATAACCTTGCCAAAACCAGAAGATCAAATTTGGATTGTGACTGATGGAGCTATTCGCAGTCCTGGAATAGGCGCCACACTTTACGTCACCAGGAACGGCAAGCTTCGTGTCGCAGGTTTTTTTAGTGCGAAATTACGGGGCTCACAAGTCAGATGGCTACCATGCGAGGTAGAAGCCTTGTCCATTGCTGTTGCTGTCAAGCACTTCAGCCCCTACCTGATACAATCGCACCATCAGGCCTGTATCTTAACGGACAGCAAGCCCTGTGTACAGGCCTATGAAAAGCTTTGTCGTGGTGAGTTCTCCGCAAGCCCGAGGGTTTCAACGTTTCTCTCTACCGTAAGCCGATACCAGGCGTCTGTTAGACATGTATCTGGCTCTGCTATTCTCCCCTCTGACTTTGCAAGTCGCAACGCCGCACCGTGTGAAGATGAGGCCTGTCAAATTTGTTCATTTACGAAACAGACCCAAGATTCTGTTATCAGACGAGCGGCGGTACAGGACATATTATCCGGTGTCGAGCAACTTCCGTTTACTAACCGAGCCACTTGGGGGCCCATACAAGCTGAATGTCCCGAATTACGACGCACTCGCGCCCACTTACTACAAGGAACACGTCCATCGAAGAAACTCACAAACGTTACGGATGTAAAAAGATACTTCCTTGTTGCTACCATTGCCAAAGACGGCTTGCTGGTTGTTAAACGAAATGAACCACTTGTGCCAAGCCGTGAATGTATTATTATCCCTCGGCAAGTACTAGAAGGTCTGCTGACGGCTCCACATATTCGTCTCAGCCATCCGTCCAGCCATCAGCTTAAAGTCGTTGTAAAACGTTATTTGTTTGCCTTGGACATGGACAAAGTTGTTAATCGTGTAAGCGAAAGTTGTCACCATTGCGCCGCATTACGAAAGACCCCAACAGCACGTATAGAACAGTCGTCCTGCTCTCCACCAAGTACTGTTGGTGTAGCATTTGCTGCCGATATCGCGAAACGCTCCAAACAACTGATCTTCGTATTGCGAGAGTGTGTAACCTCACTCACAGCTACAACTCTTCTCGAAAACGAACACCATGACACGTTACGCGATGCCCTAATTAGAAATAGGTCATGCGAAGAACCCCAACAAGAATCCTGTTGCAGAAAGAGCGGTACAAGAAGTGGTCAGTGAGCTTCTCCATCGTGATCCATTAGGTGGTCCAGTTTCGCATGTTACGCTTGCGGTAGCCACAGCCAACCTCAACTCGCGTATTCGAACGCGCGGTTTATCAGCTAGGGAAATGTGGTCCCAGCGCGATCAGTTTTCAAACGAACAGATACCTCTTCAAGATCAGGACATTATCATGAAGCAGAATGAACAACGCACAAGCAACCATGCCCATAGTGAGAAATCGAAGGCCCCAGTTGCAGAATTTCGTACCCCCGAACGTATCACCGTCGGTGATTTAGTGTACCTATACTCAGACCGCAACAAGACAAGAGCACGAGACCGCTACCTCGTAGTTGAAGTAAAGGGACCATTTTGCAATGTCAAGAAGTTTGTGGGCTCACAGTTGCGAAATACGTCTTATCATGTAAAGATATCCGAGTGCTACCGAGTGCCGTCGGAGCTTAAACGCTCCCGTCAGTCTACTCCTAATGACGAAGACTCATCGGCTGACGAAGCTGAATCATCACAACCACCTATGCTGTCTCAAGTGACCCCACCTCCACCAGCGCCACCAAGTATTCCAACAGCGATTTCTACGCCGCCTAGCCAAACGTCACACTGTAACGAACCTAGTGTTAATGCCAATGCCTACTGCAAACCGAGTAATTTAGAAGGTGAACCCCATACAGAAGACGAGTCAAGAGGGAATGAATATGTTAATGGCCCGGGTGAGAGTGTGCCTCTACGTAGGTCCAGCAGACAACGACGTCCCCCAGAACGTTTCGGTGACTATGTGATGGACAAATAGCTAAGAATATCTGATCATAAATTTTAATTGGTTATACAATTTTAGATATTTAACTTTTGTCATTAAATAAGAAAAAAGAGAAGTTACGCCAGTATTACATGACGTATTGCCTTTGATATGCGCCCGCGAGTGACGGTGACGTTTATACAGTCTAGCGCATGTTTTGTTTACTTGTATTAATTTGGCTCCTTGAATGAAAAGGTTGCCTCTTGTTTAAATATATTTCTATCTATGGATTGTGTGTATGACTTATCGTCTTATTAACTGGCGGAGGATAATCATTGGGAACTTTTTGTGGTAATTGAGCATCTATGGTACTATGCATTGAACCACAGAAAATCTATTCCCCTGGGGGTTGCCACGAAATTGCTTTTCTAAGGCCTTTTCCGCACAACGGCCCACAGCCAATAAAGTTTATAGGTGCGTCACCCCCCAAAAAAATGCAACCAGTCGGCAAAAGTCTGCAAATTTATGTCTGTATGAATCGGCAAATCGGCATACATGTGAACTGGGAAAATGGAAAAAAGATTAAAAACTATGAAAACATTTAAAGCATGACTGACATACATGTATCTGTACTAAAATGAAATAATCTCGCCTGTCTAGCTCATTTTCTCGGCAAACATGCAATCAACAGCGAAAATAGCAAGCTATTGTAATCTTATCTCTTATCTGAGTGAAATTTGAAACCCGTGTTTTCAAGCAACTACAAAGCATGCTGTCTGTTTCGACTGCTTTCATCATTAAACATGAGCAGCTCAAAACTGAAAAGAAAGAGAATAAAACTCGAGCATCTGGATTGTCATTCGGTTTTTGATGCTGATTACCGCAAAAGACACGAACAGACTTGCCACCAAGGAAAGCGAATGCGAGTAGCGCATAAAGACGCACCAGCTAATCCATTCCAAGCAGCCGCTGCAAATGTGAATAAATCAAAGTCGATTCAATCTGGCGAAAAGGTACAAAGCAGTAAAGAAAATGCCGAGAACCAGGAATACATCAGGGATGCATTTTGTGGAAAAGAAGGTAAGTCGATTAATGGTTCAGCTTATTCTTTAGTGCTTCGCAGGTATCGCAGCTTTAATAACAGTTGTTGCGTCGGCCACTTGCCACTTGGTGTGTGCCACGGAGGTGTGAATCCAAGATCGTCTTTCGGTACTCAAAACACACTTGTTATAGCGTGCTATATTTAGGAACGTTTACTCAAGTTTTTTAAGTTTTAGCAGCAATCTTACTTGCTAAATTTAGAGAATCTTTTATTATATAGCATTTTGTATTAGTATTTTGTTGTAATCTCTGCCTGAGTAAAAAAGCCATTATATAATGACAATAATGTTGAGTCGTAATGTTGCACTTGCCACAGCATTCTGTTAAGCGAGTGTAAAAATATATTCCCTATTCTTGCTTTCCAAAACGAAATTGATGGATACTTCACGTTTCTAGCGGGTACGCAGGGTGCGAAGGGATGGATCGATAACGCGGGTAGTTCTGGGTGCGGACTAACGATGTTTGATGTGTCCACTACTCGATGAGTGAGCAGAAAGTTTGGTCACCTTCGACTAGTGAGCAGGAAGTTCAGATACTTTAGGCAAACACAAATTGGCTATGAGTTCATTATTTAATAAAACTTTTTCATAGGTCATGCCCAATTCCATCCACAAAAAAGTGACATAACTGATGCACAGACGTCCCATACAAGCCAAGAGCCAAAGTCACCAATCTCGGTTAGCTCTACAGGAACACTAGATTTAGACCCCAATGAGAAAATTAACAATTTTTCCCAATCTGAAGTGTACCATCAAAAGCCCTCAAAAGAGAAGGCAGACCCAAGCTGGATAAGTACGGGAGTAAGAAAATGGCACAAGATGAAGAGTGTTGGAAAGAACAAGCAAGGAAAACTGGCTCAACACTTCTCGTTGCAAAGTCACAAGGCTTCTCTAGCAGCATACTGTCACTATTTAAAGAAGACGAAACATGTGGACATCCAACTGGATAAAGCTAAAAGGGCCGCACAAATCCAGGAAGCCGAAGACCTTGAATGCAACCATAAAGTAATCCACATCCTTTTGAACATCACAAGAACACTTGCCTGGCAAGCTCTTCCATTCAGGGGTGACAGTAATGAAGAAGGCAACTTTTACCAGTTGGTCCTATTGGTTAGTAGACATGTCCCAAGTCTTCATCGGTGGATAACTGACAAAAGGATGAATCCCTACCACGCCACCTATTTGAGTCCGCAGTCGCGGAACGAGTAGTTCATCGCTTTGCTCGAAGCAGAACTGAGAGAAAAATTTGTGGAAGAAGTAAAGAGTGCAGGGATGTTTTCTGTGATGACAGACACAACTCCTGACGAAGAGCACACGGACAGACGTTCTGTTGTTCTTAGGTACGTCAAAGACGCTGGAAAGCCAACCGAAAGGCTGCTTGATGTAAGAGAGACTGTTGATCAGACAGGTCTTGGTCAAGCGAAAGATATCCTATCTACGATAGAGCAGTGTGGGGTGGATACCAACAACCTATGCTTTCAATCATACGAGTGAGTTCAATGGTGCTCAGCAGAAACTATCCAAAATTGTTGGTTGTGATATCCTATACATACCATGCCAAGCACATCGCTGTAACACTGTGATCGAGCATAGCTGCAACGCGAGTGTCATCGTCCGTGAAATGTTTGACATACTCCAAGCACTTTTTGTTTTCTTCACATTGAGTACAAAACGTTTTCAACCATTGAAAGAGGAAATAACCAAGGTTGAAAACTGTTTAATGCTTAGAAACTTGTCCTTAACGCGATGGAGTGCCAGAGCCGAGAGTATCCAAGCCGTCTGGACATCATTTGATGTAATCGTGGATGTACTACAGCAGATCACCAATAAAGCAGATCAACAAACCCAAATGCAAGCAATGGGCTTAAGGAAAAGAATGCTTTCGCTTGATCTTGTTATTGCACTAATGTTCATGAAGAACATTGCATATAAAACAAAATGTTTCGTGGTTGTTGAACTCAACATTCTGGATGCGACTAGCCTTGTGGAAGCTACCTTGAGTATCATGGAGAAAATAAGAGCTGACAACAAAATGATGGACGATCAGATTGAATCATCCCTAATCTTCGCCAGAAGCCTTGGCATTGATCCAGAAAACAACTTCAACCGACATCACCATCCACGAAGACCACCTAGATGTCTAGATGAACAAGCTGAAACGGTAGCTGCGGTTTCTCTGCGAGAGTTCTACAGAATGCAGTTTTGAGAGGTCTTAGATGTCCTTACTTCACGAATGGGTGAACAACTAACCCAATGGAAGAAGAGCCTTTTGCCACTGTTGAA